ATATATATATATACATTGTGTGTGTGTGTGTGTGTGTGTGTGTGTGTGTGTGTGTGCATGGAATTAGAACTACATCATTCTAGCATTGTGTCTCATTGTGATCAGAACACATAATTGTTTTACTTCAGTAACTGTCAAGAGTTAGTTCAAATTACTGAAGTGCATCTTTCTGTTGACATTAACAATGGATTATCAAGAGAAACAAGACAACTCACATTATTTTTGGAAAGACAACAGTGGCCAGAAGACTCAAGAAATCTTTCATGAGGTTAACTTCTGGTCCATTATGGAAGATGATACCATGCATGCTCATCTTAAAGCAGAAGCCTACAAGGTGGCTGATCTGATTGCTAAATATTGGGGCAATCGGAGGACATCAAAGTTCAAGATAGACCAGATGACTTGTGAAAACTTTGATGGAGACAGCTTCTGGTCTATCATGAAAAATAAGGCCCTGCATGATCATCTCAAGCAGGAAGCCTACAAGGTAGCTGATCTGATTGCCAGAGAATGGGGAAATCAGAAAAAGTCCAAGGTAGACAAGCAGACTTGTGAAAACCTGGATGAGGACAGGACTTCCACCCCTCATCCTCCTTCTACCACAGCCAAACCATCTCAACCATCCCAGGTGAGACCGTCTTGCTCAAACACTGATGAAGACAAGCAGCGACTGTTGTCCAGTCCTGAAAAAAGCTCGGACGATATCTGTAAACTGCTCGGCTCTGAAGACTTGCAAAAAAAAATTGATGGTTTAACATCCGTTCAAGATCTGGCAAGGGACCATCCGGAGGTATTGAAGACCACACTTTATAAGATCTGTGTGGGTGTCATGGAGGAGGTTAAAAACATGCACTCGATGGTGTCCCGCACTGCTATTGCCACCTTGGGGGAGATGTATGCTCACCTCCAGAGGGCTATGGATGACATGGTGGAGCAAACAGGCCGCATGCTGATACTAAAAGTGTCTGAGTCCGACACCTTTATTCAGCAGCAGGCAAATCTCGCACTGGACACTATGGTTCAAAACTGCAGCCCCGGTCGCACCATGAACACCCTGCTGAATGCAGGACTGAGTCATCGCAATACTACAGTTAGAGCAAGCACAGCTCAGCACCTCAGCCAGTTATGCAAAATCCTTGGAGCCACACGGACCCTCACAGGTGACAAGAGCTTTACCAAACGCTTCCTTATTGCTGTGAGAAGAATATGTGTGGATGCTGCAGCGGACGTGAGGCGCCATGGACATGACATCGTCCAAAACATTTCCACTCACGGCGCCTTCCAGAAGCAGTGGAAAGAGGCTGTCCCAGAAATGGACAGAAGCTTGCAGGAGTCATAAAGAAATTGCAAAAGGGACCTAAGGACCCAAAGGACAATAATTGCATTACTGCTGATTGATAATAACTGTCAATAAAGGTCCTTTCTGAATTAAATATAACAAACAAGACCTCATGCTCTTCAGTCAAAGCACAAAATGTCTTTGAAGTTTTAAGGGATGATACAATGTTAAATGCAACAAAACGAAATTTGCTTTGAGAACTAATTAACAAATTTGAACATTGTTGGCAGGTCCATTTTGAGTATCTATTAATTTCTATTCTTTTCTATTTTCTAAATTTTTTTCTATTATTTTATTGTTTAGTAGTTATAAAAGAATGATGTAATTATTATTATGTAGTTATGTATTATGTAAAAACAATTACATGCATAGTAAATTTGATTAATTGCAAAATTGTTTGGTAATACACACCACTTAAGAACAAAATGAACTATAAACAAAAAACTAAATCTAGTTTTAATACCTATTACTGTATTTCAATTGACATGGTTATTCATGTGCACAAATACATGTATGTTAAATCAAAATACCATAAACAAATAGACACACAGCAAACAAGGGACGGTATATTCTAGTATTGTAGCAGTATTTTATTTTTTATTTAACAAGACAAGTCAATTGAGAACCAGTTCTCATCTACAATGATGACTTGGCCAAGAGGCAGCAACAGGAGGCAAGTCGATACAATAATTAAAACGTAATACAACAATCCAAAAACAGAACACTAAAGTACTACAGTAAGTAGATTACTGGTTTGCTTCTCACAAGTTGCTTCTTACATGTTCTCAAAATCTTGTTCTGCATTCCCAACTCTTGACCAAGTATACACACTTTGTATTACACTTAGGCTGTTTCCATGGTGACGGTTGCAAACAGAGGGGAAGTCTCCTGACAATCCAGTAGTGGTATAGCCATCAAAAATCCATACCTAACCTCAGTGTCAGTGTCTCCTGGAAGCTCATTCACATTCACACACATTCTCATGCAAGTAAAATTCTGCAGATAAAGGTCAAATAAAGTGTGTGTGTGTGTGTTTGTGTGTACTACATACATATGTATCTCATACAGCTTACGCATGTCCTGTGTGTATGCGTGTGTGTGTGTACTTAACGTCTGAAATCTGTACGTTTGCCCGCTATTGCTGGATGGCTTTTATGGGAGCATATGGAAAAGCACTCAAGTTCTGACTTCCACACAACTACACACACACACATAAAAACACACACGCAAGTTGGGCTGATTGACAGAGAAAGAAAACCTCTGGATAATCTGTTAGAACTGTGTGCGATATTTAAATAATACTCATACATGTGTGCCTTCTATTAGTTTTTTTCTTTTCTGACAATTCTTGTTGTTTGCAGATGCATAAAATCTAATTCTTCCATTCTCACACATCCTCTTTAACTTTTTCTACTAATAGTAATTAATAGTAAGCAATCACAGAGTGTTTGTTACTGTATTAATATCATTATCATTAACACTAGTTTGCCTTTCCGTCCCTGCTGTGGTTCAGTTTCTCTGTACTTTCCCCACATCATGCACACACTCATACCCCAGTCCCCCTCCCCTCCTCCTCCCTTCCCAATTCTCCTGACTGGATTTACTGGCCAGCGGAGAGGAAAATGTATGAATCAGTCCAAGGTTGCTCACTCCCAAGGAGAGGGAAAGCCAGAGAGCGAGGGAACAAGGGGAAAGAGGAAAAATAAAAGATGGAAGAGAGCGAGAAAAAGGAGGAAGCCAAAGATCGAGAAATACTGAACAAAACTAGAGGTGGAGTACGGGGACCTCTTTGCCCTCTGTGCCACAATAAATGATGATGTCAGCATCCAGCAGTCTGGGGCGATTGCTTGTTTAGTTTTTTCGTGTAGCGGACACCTGGGTGTATCGCTGCTGCCAAATGTGTGTGTGTGTGAGAGAGAGAGTTTTTACATGCATTTAGGGGATATGACCATTTGGCTGCACAGGTCATAAATCCTTTGATGAAGGAGTTTGGTCACACACACAACCTCTTGTCTCCCTCTCTCTCTTTCACACACACGTACACACACACACACACACACACTCACACTGGGTTGGGCAGGGCAGGCCCGTGGTTAGCTATCCAGATGGTTTTAAGGTTAGTTAGAGACTACGCTCAAAGGTGCTGTTTGCAACCAAAGCAGCGTGTGTGTATTTCTGTGTGTGTGTGTGTGTGTGTGTGTGTTTACAGAAACTCACTCACCCTGTGCTATATTTGGCTTCTCTTTTTTTTTTAAATACTAATTTTACTGTCGATGGTAAAAGATTAACACACGCACAAGCATATGCAGAAACTTAATTTTGTAACAATAGACTTTGAGAGGTTTAACCACAATGTATGTGTGTGTGTGAATGAGTGAGTGAGTGAGTGAGTGAGTGACAATGGGATAGAGAAGGAGAGAGAGAGTGCTGGCATGTGTCAGACTGAGCTGACTAACTTTGAGGTTCCCTGATTCATAAATAGTTGGATGTCTGGATATCATATGTTGTGTGCAGATTTACAAGTACAAGAGATTTCTGCACTGGAACGCGGTTTCTCTCTCTCTCTCTCTCTCTCTCTCTCTCTCTCGTTCTCTATGTGTGTGTGTTTCTCATTTGTTTTTTGCCCCCCCAACCCGCTTTTTTTTTTTTTTAACTCTGCACAACTGTAATCAAAACCACAGACTCGAGGTCTGTGAACGACTTTCCCATTCGTGTCTCTTGCATTTTTCTTCTCTCTTTTTTTGTGGGCTGTTAAATTTAATATGTGTGTGTTTCATCTGCTTTCCTTTTGTCCCTTTGAATCTAATCTGGTATTGTTTCTTTACGATTGACACGATACAAGTGAAGTTGATGCTGCAAAATCTTTAAATATTACATTTATAAAGTAGTAAATTCATCAGCACACAATGATTGTGATGCAAAATCTTTTTTTTATGTGGGTCCAGTACACAATGTCAGTGCAAACACTGTAAATCTCTTTTACCCTTTTTTTACCCTTTAAGCAAATTCCTCACTCATGGCGCAAAGTCAGTCTCTTTCTTTCTTTTCCTCACATATACAACTCGTGTGTTTCTCTTTCGCCTCCTGCAGGAGAAGGAGAAGAAGTACATGCTGCAGGTGGACAACCTGAAGCTGCGGGATGTGGAGAAGGGCTTCATGTCCAGCAAGCACATCTTTGCCCTCTTCAACACTGAACAGAGGTGTTATTATACCCCCAGATACATCAATATACATATACACAGCAGATAAACATTATGGATCACACTGCAGTGGTGTTATTTTAGATATAGAATTAAATCTTTGTTAGACAAATTGTGCAGTTGTACAGAAATATGCTGAATCCTACATACAAGCATTACAAATAACACACACACTAACACACTATTACCATTAGCATTAGCTCTGTAGCCCACAAGCATTTCAGGATTCATGTGATTTATGTGTAAAATTTTAAGTTTTCAGTTAAGAACATTATGAAAATTATTAATTAGTGCTGGCAACAAAATGTACTTAAAGTAATAAAAATAAAAGTACTAATTAGTACTGACTCCTGTCAGTGTAATAATAATATATTGTTGGGTAATTTTTTAAGCTTGAACATGTAAGCAGGACTTAAATATATTATAATATATATATATATAGTAACATCAAACAACAAATCTCAAACTTTAGCTGTAAAATAAATGTAACTGAATATAAAGCAAAATATTTGCCTCTGAAATATAATGGTGTAATAGTATAATGAATAATGAAGACTGTATTTAAGTAAATGTTACTTTGCACCACTGACACTGCTGCTCCGTTGACACATATTTGCTATAAAATAATAGTATATAAAAGATGGAGAACATCGTTCAGAGCTTAGTTTTGATCTCATTGTGTGTCCACAGGAACGTGTACAAGGACTACCGTCAGCTGGAGCTGGCCTGTGAAAGTCAGGAGGATATTGATGCTTGGAAGGCCTCCTTCCTCAGAGCCGGAGTTTATCCTGAACGCGTCACGGTAAGATTTTTTGGTTTTTGTATGCATATGCCAAAGGTAGGAAATGAATAGTAAGTTGGGATTTCTCCATTGCACATGAAACCATATTCAAAACACATTATTAACCTAACCAAGAATGCTTGTTGATTGTTTTTTTTTACGTGTTGTATATATACTGTTGTTGTGATGTTTACTTGGAGTCTATTTTAATGTTGTCAAGTTTTCTCATATGACACTGTATCTGTCCTCTTTCAATGTTTGTTTTCTTCATCGCTGTTTGGCCTTATAGGACAAGGAAGGAAAGGTATGTCACTCTGCATAAAGAATTGTCATCATCTTTGTGTCTTTCATATAACGTTTCACCCTAAAACAATTATTTTAAATTAACTGATTATTGGTGCTATATAGTTCTAGGAGAGTTAATTTTTACAGATTAAATTTAAATAAAAGCAAATAGAAATGACAAAAGAAAGAAAAGAGGCCACTTTGCTGTATAATTCCAATGTTATGCTGCCTCACTTTTATCTTGTATGTTGTATCTGCAGTCTCTGTTGTGCTAACTCTTTCTTGCTGAAGCTAAACTGACATTATACTCTGTGTCCTCTGTCCACCCTCCCTTATTCGTCTCCACAGAGTGACGGCGATGAAAATGGCTCGGACAACTTAATGCACAGCATGGACCCTCAGCTGGAGCGGCAGGTGGAGACCATTCGTAACCTGGTTGACTCCTACATGGCCATCGTCAACAAGACCGTCCGCGACTTGATGCCGAAGACCATCATGCACCTCATGATTAACAATGTGAGTCATCAACTGTCAGCTCTTTCGTATTTATATATACTCCAAACATAGAAACTTTAATTTTCCTCATAAAACATTTCTCTCTCTCTCTCTTTGTTTAGACTAAGGAGTTCATCAATGCGGAGCTTCTGGCTCAGCTGTACTCGTGTGGTGACCAGAACACACTGATGGAGGAGTCTCAGGAGCAGGCCCAGCACCGCGATGAGATGCTGCGCATGTACCACGCCCTGCGGGAGGCCCTCAGCATCATCGGTGACATCAGCACAACCACCATAACCACCAGCATGCCGCCACCCGTGGATGACTCCTGGCTGCAGGTGCAGCGGAGCGGTTCCGGAGGAAGGTAAGGCACGATGAGACTATACAGAGGACAGAGGAGGAGGATCGGTTGGTGGGAATAGTTTGTTTTTTTAACACTTGAAGTTATTTTTTTTATCTGGGTCAATGCTATTGAATTATCAAGTAAAATATGAGCTTTACACATAACCATTATCAGATTGGTTGTTTTATTTTTGTTTTCTTAACATGCACTGGGTAACCACTTCCACCATATTAGGTTCCATACTTCGTTGTGTTTAAATTAGATCTGTTATATTTTTCTTACAGAGTACTCAAAAGTGTAGTTGCCTGGTCAAAAACTTTGGTTCAGTTGCCCATGGAGGACAGTAGTTGTTAATAATATTGGGTCGTCTTTTCTATCTCAATCTTAATGGTTCATTTTGACCCTTGGTGGATGGGTGATGGTTGGACAAACAGATAGTTGATAGCACAGGGTCACATTCATTAGATATCTTGAAGATTAGATTAATAGATGGATTAAAGGGTTCAAGAATTAGACGAAAACGTTTTAAGCAATGCAAAGAAAATTGACAGAAATGGAACAATTCAGGGAGTAATCAAGTGATCAGGCCTTAGAGTTGAGGAAGGCAAGAACACCATCAAACAACTACCCTATGATTATTCTGCTAAGCAACTTAATGCTTGTTGCTGCTCCTGATGCTCTCCTCCCTTCTCCTCCAGGTCTCCAGCTACCAGTCCAACTCCAAACCGCAGGGCTCCACCGGGACCTCCGAACCGACCAGGCTCTCGCGGGCCTCCACCTGGGCCTCCTCCAGCTGGGGGACCCCCTGTCCCATCTCGCCCGGGGTCCTCCCCAGACCCTTACAGCGGGCCGCCGCCCACTGTTCCCTCCCGGCCTAATCGCGCACCCCCAAGTGTGCCCAGGTTAGTAACAACAGTTAGTGAGTGAAACAACCAACCCATCTTCACCCCAACGTATTTCACAGTATGTTTCAGTAGGTTTAACAAAGACTTTGAAAACCAAACCATAGCTTATAATACTATGACAAGCTATCCAACCTGAAGTGTGGATGCTCTCTGTTACTAAGGGGGATGTGAAGACACCCGGATGAGGGGATAAAGGAGGTAAATGAAGTGGAGAGCTCTGGTTGTGATAGAAGATAGATGAATAGAGTGATAGAGATCCCTAAATAGATGGATAGACCGTGATCTAACTCAATGGGATATGTTTCTCCTTTTCTCTTGGTCTGGGTTACCATTTGCGTACTTCCTTTCACCTAACCTTGTCGGTACCTTTCTGTCACCACTTTGAACTTTCAACACGCTGTCAAGCATCACTAACGATAGCAAACTCTCATGTTCATCGCTTACACCCACCTCACCGCTGTCCTCATCCTACTAATTAACATATGTGTGCTTCAAAGCAAGTCAGTGACTGGAGTGAGCATCAGAAAAAAAACTGGGTTTTCTTTTTGTTCCGGTTTCTCCATTAACTCTATGTGCCTTTGCACCTGTGAAAAATCACCTTGTGCTTGCCTGTGTTTGTGAGCTAGCTAACGTTTTTTTTTATTATTCTGGATTCATTGTCAGAGTAGCAGCTTGCCTCTTTTACCGTAGGAGACACGAACGTTGCTGCGCAAAGCTCTCACTGGCAAATGCAGCCTCAAAATCAGATGAAGGACGATCTCAAATCCTCACAAAGTCCTCATTAGTGAACTGAATCCATCTCGTATTCTGGTCTGTCCAAAGTGAGAGCCAAGCACATGTGACATTGGTCATTTCCTGCACTGTAACTGTTTGCACTCCTTTTCTCTTTTCCTCCTCTTCATCCCTCTTTTCCTCACCACACCTCTGTTCCCACACATGACTATTGTTCCTTCAACAGAATCACTATCACTGACCAATGAGGACTAACGTTTTCTGGTATGTTGGGTACTGTCTGCCATCATCATCATCTTCATCACCACCTTTCCTTCTTTCTCTTCCTCTCAGAAGGCATCCTTTCACTGCATGCCATTTTCTTTTGCTCACTTTTCTTTTTCTCTTCTCAGAGCGCTGCATGGGGCAAACACACACCCAGTTCAGATGGCCTGTGTGTGTTTGCATCAGTGTTTGAGCCTTTTTGAGGTTGACACTAACTTATTTATTGGAGTGGGTATGTCAGTATGTCAGTATGTGTGAAGGAGGAATTTTCTCAGATTATAGCAGCAGCTGGATTCAACTCAAATGTCCAAAACTTAAAGATTATTGTTTTAGTGTCGATGTTGTTGTATGTGATGCCATGACATGACCCATCCCTGACTTTGTCTCTCAGTGTCTGATGTTGTCCTGCAGAGTCATGGTATCTGTTAATATCGCCGTTCAGTACAGCATTTAGCGAGTGAGCAGGTAGCGATGCTGGAGATTCTCAACCGGACCTTTTTTTTTTTTACGGAAATACATACGTAAATATTTTTACTCTTTCAGGCCTCTAAAACAATAGAAATGAAACAATCTGAAAGGGGAATGTCACTCATTCGTAGCACTGTTGGCAACCTGTGAAAAGTAGTCATGAGCACACGGCAAAAAGGAGAAACATCAGAGAAAATAGTTTTTTAAAGGAATAGTTTGTAAATTTTTGGGAAATATGCTTTAGTTAGATGAGAAGGTCTATACCACTATATCTTTACAGTAAATATGTAGCGACCGCTTGTAGCCAGTTAGCTTAGAATCAGTACTAGAATCAGGGGAACCGCTAGCTTGGCTCTGCCCAAAATCCACTTAAAGCTCACTAATACCCCTGGTGCTAGTTCTGGGCTGGTCCTAGTGCCGGTTCAGAGTTGGTTCCACTTGAGAACCTCCTAAGAACCGCTTTGTTTTTCTACGTCAATGTACGTCTGTATACATCTCCAACGTTAGTTATAGTTACCAAGGTTACCCGAGCTGGCTCACATCAGTGTTATGAACGTAGAACATAACATAGATTATTTTTTTTTCTGCATGTTTATAACATCTATGATACATTCACAACATCAATGTGAGAAATTAGTAGCCCACTAAACAGATAATAAACACATATCTGGCTTGCGACAAGGAGCAGCCTAACATAAAGGTTCTTAGTCCTAGACCATCAAAATCCCTGTACAGCGCTGGAACCAGTTTTCCTGGCCCACGAGCCGGTTCTTGAAAAGTGAATAACTTGTTCAAGATTAGGAACCGGCTACAACCTGCCCTCAAACTTCTTTGGTGAAAAGGGGGTATTATTAACATTAAAATTAATTAGCAGCTACATCTATATTGTATAGAAATGAGAGTGGTATCAA